TGAGTTTCATCTGAATAGGTATTTATCTTTATATCTGAAGACACCAGACTAAAATACTTCTGAGATCCCTTGCCAATTCTTATATTTTATATATCTAATCTGAGACTTCTTCTTCTTTGAGACGGACTTCAATTCTCGCCTCAGCCTCCCAAGTAGTTGGGATTAAAGGCATGTGCCACCCAAGTAGCTGGGATTACAGGCGTGTACCACCACAGCTGGCTAACTTTTGTATTTTTAGTAGAGACAGGGTTTTGCCCTGTTGGCCAGGTTGGTCTTGAACTCCTGGCCTCAATTGATCCCCCTGCCTTGGCCTCCCAAAGTGCTGGGATTACAGGCATAAGCCACTGCACCAGGCCTCTGATCTGACACTTCTAACATGTGCTGTGGGATCAGAATTGTATTGGGCTCAGCATCAGAGGTATTTTTCCTGTGATCATACAGGTTTTCTTCTTAACACCCTGGTAGTTCCTTCTCAGTCTCTTTTGTGAGTTCTTCCTCTTCTATAAGTTCCTTGAGGCTTTCTCCTTGGGCCCTTTCTTCACTTCCCAATCTCAATGTAGGTGATCTCATTCAATAAGCTTTGGTTACCACCTAGAAACCAATAAACCTCAAATTTTTATGTCCAATTTAGGTCTCTTTTCTGAGCTTCAGAACTGTTCTTCATCTGTGTATCTCATGAATAACTCAAACTTAATATGTCCAAAACTGAGCTAGTATACTCTTCTCCTACCAAAACTGCTCCTTTTTCAGAATTTCCTGTTTATTGAGTTACTGGCACCATTATCAATCCATCCAGAAAACCAGAGAGCAGGGAGTTATACCTAACACTTCTCTCTTCATTCTGCCACATCAAATCAATTACTACCTAAACCTGGGCAATTCTACTTCCTGAATACATATTATTTACCTACATCTTTCCATCACCACTATCACTCCTCAAATCCAAGGTATCATCTTCTATTGCCTATTTCAGCAGCCTTCTAACTGCTCTCTTTTCTTCCAGTCTTACCTTTGCCCCCACTATCCAATGTTTTTCATATATGAGCCAGAGTGGTCTACTTGGAAAACACTTGTGATCATACCCTCTCTTTTCTTTTGTTCAACCATTATCTACTGAGTACCACAGTGTGCCAGAAACTATTCTAGAAGCTGGGGATCCAGTGATATATAAGAGATCAGGCAATGACCTCTTACTCATAGAAGGTTCTATATGATCTCGACCATGGACTCCTTTCCCCTTTGATTCCAGATTAGTACACTAAAATTTAGCCATACTGACTTGCTTTCTCAGGGCTTTTGAACAAGTATGTATATTCCTACACCCAATTCCTATACATTTTTAAAACGTTAATTTAAATATCGCTTTTTTTTTTTTTTTTGAGTTGGAGTCTCGCTGTCATCCAGGCTGGAGTACAGTGGCACGATCTTGACTCACTGTAACTTCCGCCTCCCAGGTTTAAGTGATTCTCCTGCCTCAGTCTCCCTAGTAGCTGGGATTACAGACGCATGCCACCATGCTCAGCTAAACTTTTAAAAATTTTTTTATTTTTAGCAGAGACAGGGTTTCAACATGTTGGCCAGGCTGGTCTCAAACTCCTGACCTCATGATCTAATCAGCCCACCTCTGCCTCCCCAAGTGCTGGGATTACAGGGGTGAGCCACTGTGCCTGGCCCATTTCTCTTCTTTAGAGTAACTCTCTGACCAGTCTAGGTCCCTTTGTATATATCTTTCCAGAACTACTCACAATTACAAATTTAAAATTTGTGTTTGTTTAATGTCTGTCTCTCCCACTAGTTCTCTTTTATGTTCCAAGAGAACAGGAAAATTTCTTGTTCATCACTGTATTCCCAGTGTCTGGCACATACCACGAGCTCAATTTGTTGGCTGAATGAAGAATGGACTGCCTCATGTGTGCTATGGAGTTAGAATTGTGTTGGGCTCAGCATCAGAGGTATTTTTCCTGTGTGTGTTACCATATGTCTACAGTCTGGTAACCGGTAAGATTCAGAGACTTTTATTTTTATTTTTATTTTTTATTTTGAGACAGAGTCTCACTCCGTTGCCCAGCCTGGAGTGCAGTAGCACAATTTCCATTCACTGCAATCTCCACTTTCCGGGTTCAAGCAATGCTCTGGCTCAGCCTCCTGAGTAGCTGGGATTACAGGCGCCCGCCACCACAAAGAGACTTTTTTTTTTGAGACAGCGACTTGCTCTGTCGCCCAGGCTGGAGTGCAGTGGTGCAATCTTGGCTCACTGCAACCTCCGCCAGAGACTTCTTTATAAAGCAGCTCACACTTCAGGATGCAATCTTTGTCTTTTTTTTTTTTTTTTTTTTTTTGAGACAGGGTCTCACTCTATCACCCAGGCTGGACTGCAGTGGCATGATCATGGCTTGCTGCAGCCTTGACCTGCTGGGCTCAGGTGATCCTCCCACCTCAGCCTTTCAAGTAGCTGGGACTATAAGCATGCATCACTACACCCAGTTAATTCTTTGTATTTTTTGTGGAGATGGGTTTTCTCTATGTTCACTGGTCTCAAACTCCTGGGCTCAAGCCATCCATCTTCCTCGGCCTCCCAAAGTGCTGGGACTACAGACACACGCCATTGGATCCAGCCCACCTTTGTATCTAGTTAGAAAAATTTAATTAAAAACCACTGCTGTGAACTAGATGCAGTAGTTTATGCCTATAGTAATCCCAGTGATTTGGGAGGCTGAGGTGGGAGGATGGCTTAAGGCCAGGAGTTTGAGACCAGCCTGGATAGACATAGTGAGAACTCATCTCTAAACGAACAAACAAAACCAACAACAACCTCCTGCTCTGAAGAAGGGAAGTCTAGTGGAGTTGCTTAGTTTAAAAACTGGTAAGTTCTTGCCCGGTTCTTCACCCCTCCTTCCCGCGGCGCTCTAGGGACCATGGCCGAACCTCGCGTGAGACAGATCAAGATCAAGACCGGCGTGGTGAAGCGGTTGGTCAAAGAAAAAGTGATGTATGAAAAAGAGGCAAAACAACAGGAAGAAAAGATTGAAAAAATGAGAGCTGAAGATGGTGAAAATTATGACATTAAAAAGCAGGTAGAGATCCTACAAGAATCCCGGATGATGATCCCAGATTGCCAGCGCAGGTTGGAAGCCGCATATTTGGATCTTCAACAGATATTAGAATGTGAAAAAGACTTGGAAGAAACTGAGGAATATAAAGAAGCACGTTTAGTACTGGATTCAGTGAAGTTAGAAGCCTGAAACTTTTCTTTTATGGGGTGGTTTTTGCATTGAATCCTGGGGTCCATTTTACAATCCATTATTTTTGACCACTGCTGTGTGTTCAAGTAGTGTGAGAATGTGATTGCTTTTATCTGGTTACGTATGTATTTCTTTGTCTAACTTAATATGTCAAATAAATGAATACATCTAAAAAAAATAAAAATAAAAAAAATAAAAACTGGTAAGTTCTTGAAGAGATGTATGGAAACAAACTGGGATATTTGAACAGTATTTTTCAATTTACCTCATCTACTGCTCCAGTTTAGGTTGCATCATTTTCTACCTAAATCATTGTACCCTTCCTCCCTAGCTCCTTATCTTCCTATCCCATACAATTTGTCTTCATTGCATTTATTGTTTTTTGGACATGTGAGACAAAGTAGCAAACATAAGAAGCCATGTCTGCTCATTCTGTTTACCAGCAGAATTTCACAAACTCTCTGGCCAGCAGAATTTCACAGCCTCAGACAGTGACTATGCACAGCCCTCCAGAATACCCTGAAGATAAGTAGGATAGAGCACAAGTTCCCATGTCTCTTGCCTGAATTACTGCATTTTTAGAAAAGATAAATCCAACGATCCTCGACCTTGCCTCTTCCTCTACATGTCTGACAGGATTAATGACTATGCCTCCATAATCTATAAACAAGTGTTCTCTTCCACCCAAACCTTCGTGAGATTTTGCTCTAGTGTAACTCCTGAGTACATTTTTTTATTTTTTATTAGAGACAAGGTCTTGCTCTGTTACAGCAAGAATGCTAGACTAGAATGCCAGGCTAGAATGCAGTGGCACAATCATAGCTCACTGTAACCTCAAACTCAGGGGTTCCAGCAATCCTTTTACCTCTGCCTCTCCCGTAGCTAGGACTACAGACATGTTCTACTACGCCTTGCTTTTTTTTTTTTTTTATGTGTGTGGAGACAGAGTCTTGATATGTTACACAGGCTGGTTGTAAACGCCTGGCTTCAAGCAATCTTTCTGCCTCAGCCTCCTTAAGCACCGGGATTACAGGCCCGAGCCACCACCACAGCCCTTCTAAGCACATTTGATTTAACTTCCAAGCACATGCAGAGCGGCCACCACCTGTATATAAGCTGCGGGCTGAAACACTGCTTTGGAGCAGTCTAAAAAACTCTCTGACTCTCCCAGGTGGCAGTCCTCAGTCAGACTTCTGAAGAAAGCTAACTTGAATTATTTAAAAGCCTGATTTTCTTTAGTTGACATATTTTACTGTTCCTTCCCATTAGAATGCAAGCTCCACGAAGGCAAGGCTTAAAATTTTTGTTGTTGTTGTTTAGACAGGGTCTCACTGTGTCAATGAGGCTGGAGTGCAGTGTTGCAATCATGGCTTACTGCAGCCTCGACCTCCCGGACTCAAGCGTTCCTCCCGTCTCAGCCTCCTGAGTAGCTGGGACCACATGCACGCACCACCACCCCCCCTGGCTAAATTAAAAAAAGAATTTTGTAGAGACGGGGGTCTCACCATGTTGCCCAGGCTGGTACCAAATTCCCGGGCTCAAGCAATCCTCCCGCTTCGGCCTCCCAAAGTACTGGGATTATAGGTGTGAGCTACCACGCCCAGCCTAAGGCAAGTTTTATTTTGTTCATGGTTGTATTCCTTGCATTTGGAACTCAGAAGAGGTCTCGAAAACCTCGAAGATACAGTAACTACCAACACATCTCCCTGCTTCAAGTCTTTCTCCATTCATTCATATGCATGAGCTAGGATCTCTTACCCCATGGTGTCAGTATAGTGCATCTTATTAATTTCGGCTGCTTTTTAGCTTTCATTTATGTTTGTATTTCCGTCACATTTTACATTGCTCACCAAAGGCCACTGCTAGCGGGAAAAACTGCGAAAGGAGACTTGAGGGCAGCAGACGCTGTAGCTGCTCAAAAATTGGCCGAATTTAACAGTAGGCTGGAGGAGCTAAAAAATGTTTTCGCACAGAAGAGTGAGCACGTCCAGACCGGTCTTTTTAGCACTTTCTTAGGCCTTGAGGATGAAACCCCACCAGCCTACGGCCGGCTGTAGGGTAGAAAAGAGCCAGTTAGTATTTGCGGCGCTGGGAAGTAGCGTCCATCCGGCGGGTGTAGGAAAATACTTCCGGCGTTCTGGTTTTTTACGTGCTGAGTCACAGCCGAAGGCTTGCCCTGGGTCCGAGGGGTAGGGTACTCAAACTATGACACGAATGGGAAATTTTAAAACTTTGGAATTAATTCTCTGCACTCGTTTCTCAGTTTTCTCATTAGGGGAATATTTTTCTATGAGACGCGGAGGACTACTCAATGGTTGTTACAAAACACTCCCTGCGTACGTCATAAACGCGCCAGGTGCCCTTCTTCCGTCGTCCTCCGCGCCACTCTCTCCGCCTCTTCTCCCTCGCCCCGCCCACTTGGGTTTCGAAATGCTCGCTGGTTGTTCCGAGAATCAGTCCGGGTCACGTTGGTTCCTCTCCTTTCCTGTTCTCATTGGTTGCTTACGTGAGCGTGACTACTTTCTTGCCTCATGATTGGCTAAAATCAGGAGCGTCATCGGCGGCCGGGAGGGCGGAGGGATGAGGGAAGTCGGCGTGAGGGAGACTGGGTTGGGGGAGGGGTTCAGGCCTGTTCCCCGCGGCTGCGGCAGCACCAGCGCCGGCCGCCACCGCCTCTGGAACGCGGAGGAGGTGGGTCCTGGGAAGCGGGATGTCCATCGCTCCAGCTTGGTGGTGAATGCTGAGGAGAGTCACTGTTGCTGCAGTCTGTGCCACCCGGAGGAAGTTGTGTGAGGCCGGGCGGGAGCTCGCGGCGCTCTGGCGAATCGAAACGCGGGGTCGGTGCGAAGACTCTGCTCCTGCCAGATCCTTTCCTATTCTGGCCATGCCTGGAAGGAACAAGGCGAAGTCTACCTGCAGCTGCCCTGACCTGCAGCCCAATGGACAGGATCTGGGCGAGAACAGCCGGGTTGCCCGTCTAGGAGCGGATGAATCTGAGGAAGAGGGACGGAGGGGGTCTCTCAGTAATGCCGGGGACCCTGAGATCGTCAAGTCTCCCAGCGACCCCAAGCAATACCGGTGAGGGAGGAGGCTTGCACTGGGGAGGCGAACAGTGTGCCGGCTTCTCTGTCGGTGCCGCCGTGACTTCTTGTCTCCATGTCTCCCAGTGGAGCAACAGGGCACACTTTCCACCCCAAATGCTTTCGTGGGTGGAGGTGGCAAGCGTGATTAGAGGCTTCCCTGTGGTGTCAGCTGGGCAAGTGGGAAATCTTGGGTTCTAAGATGTCAGAATGGGAGAAGCTTATCGAGTCATTTGAATACAGTCGCTAAAGCAAGAATGGAGGTTTCTTTGAGGAACGCAGCCTGAATGGTGAGGGAGTCTTGGTATCATGTTACCAGAAAAGGTTGACGGAGTTGGGTACTTTAATTTTGGAGGACAGGATATTTAAGGGGCGTATTATCACTATCCAAAATATATGAGGGACGCTTAAGTGATAGATGAAACTAGTGGACGAAAGTTACCAGAGGATGGTGTGGCTTCAGTAAAGTAACTTTGCATCATACTTGGCCTAAATTGAAGTGGCTTGTTTCCATGGGTAGTTCTCCGTTACCAAAATGGTTGGGCGACCTCTTCCAGGAATATATTAGAGAGGACTTGGGTCTCAGTTGGGTGAGTTGTAAGGTTTCTTCTAATCTTGAAATTCTCTACTTTTGGTTTGTGCGGGAGTCCTCTAAACATTTCTAATAATTGGTGATTCAGTCCCCACCTGAATATTTCCTTCAGAGGTAGCTTATTTCATGGAGTATCGTGACTATGATGTATCTTGTGTGTGTGTGTGTGTTTTAATGAGAGCCTGGGTCTTGCGATGTTGCCCAGGCTAATTTCAAACTCCTGGGCTTAGGGAATCCTCCTGCCTTGGCCTCCCAAAGTACTGGGATTACAGGCATGAGCCACTGTGCCAGGCCTGGACTTTGATGTATTTTAAATAGAGTTTATATTGTCCAACAACTTTGTTGAACAGATTGAGGAAATTGAGACCCAGAGGGTTTGCTTCTTGCTTCGAATCACACAGCTAAATAATAACAGAACTGGTATAATGACCCCTACTATCTGACACCAAATTCAGTGTATCATTTACTGATTTCTTTCTTTCTTTTTTTGTTTGAGACGGAGTCTCGCTCTGTCACCAGGCTGGAGTGCAGTGGCGCGATCTCGGCTCACTGCAGTCTTCGCCTCCCGGGTTCAAGCGATTCTCCTGCTTCAACCTCTCCAGTAGCTGGGACTACAGGTGCTCGCCACCATACCCAGCTAATTTTTTGTATTTTTGTAGAGACGGAGTTTCACCATATTGGCCAGGATAGTCTCCATCTCTTGACCTCGTGATCCGCCCGCCTCTTCTCCCAAAGTGATGGGGTTACAGGCGTGAGCCACCGCGCCCTGCCCATTTGCTGATTTTTAACAAAGTTCTTGTTCATGTGAATTGAAAACTGAAGGATTCTAGCTCTAAATTTGTTATAAGCCCCTACAGCATTAGAGCAAGAAAGAACCTTATAATCTTTTCCACTTCCCACCACCCCTCTTTGACAGATGACCAAAACTGAGGTCTAGAAAGAAGTGACTTAGCCCCAAGTTTAGGACCAGCCTAATTTCTCCTGTCACTTCAAGTCTAGATACATTTTCCCCAGGCTGCCAGAGTCAAGGGGTCTTTATAAATGAGCTAAATTTTTGCTTTCTCATCAAAGAGGTGGTTGTACAGGTTGAGTATCCCTAATCCAAAAATCCAAAATGCTTGGAAATCCAAAACTTTATGAGTGCCAACATGACACCACAAGTGAAAAAGTCCACACCTAACACCTTTGCTTTTTGATGGTTGGTTCATGTACACAAACTTTGTTTCATGCACAAAATTATTAAAAATATTGTATAAAATTATCTTCAGTTTATGTTTATAAGGTATATATGAAACATAAATGAATTTTGCATTTATACTGGGTCCCATCCCCGAGATACCTCATTGTGTATATGCAAATATTCCAAAATCCAAAAAAATCCAAAATTTGAAATACTTTTGGTCCCAAGTGTTTCAGATAAAGGATACTCAACCTGTGTTGGCAATATATAAATTAGCAAGTTGAAAACTTGATTAAAGGTGCTTAGTTTTTGCCTTCCAGATCAAATGTTCAATAATGGTTTCAGGGTTTTTTCCTGTCTATATAAAGTTACATAATAACTAATGTTTATGGAATATACACTATGTTTCAGCTACTGTTGTAACTGCTTTAGATGTGTTATTTCATTTACTGACCTCATTTTTGGTAAATTTGTTTGACAGATACCTATTAAGTCCTACTCTGTGCCAGGCACCAAGCTAGATTAAATATTTTCTGAAACTTGGTCAATGTGATAAACGTTAGTCTGGGTGAATATACAAAAATGATTGAGCCAGTACATGCCTTCAGGGAAAACAGTAGAGACACAGACACATTAAAAAAAAAAAAAAATTAGAGACTGTTATGGTGGCTCATGCCTATAATCCCAGCACTTGGGCGGCCGAATTGGGAGGATCACTTGAGCCTAGGAGTTTGAGACCAGCCTGGGCAACATAGTGAGACCCTGTCTCTACACAGAAAAAATTAGCCGGGTGTGGTGGTGTGTGCCTGTAGACCCAGCTACTTGGGAAGCTGAGGTAGGAAGATCCCTTAGCTGTTTCAAAAAACAAGTAAATAAAATTAGGACACTAAAGTTTTATAGAAGCCATAATGGAAGTATGTCCTAGATATATTGAGGAATGAAATACATTGGTAAATTCCACCGGGGGAGAAAGGAAAGACTTCAAAGAGGAGATAATGCTTAAGAGTTGTTCTTTGAATAATTGTTGCGTTTTTGTCTTTATATGGCTTTTGCCAAGTCATTGTCCTTCTTAGTGTTTCAGCTTAGTTTAAAAACGAAGGGGGTTGGTTAGAACAACAGTGTTTTTCAATAACCCTCCCCTTTCAAAAGAGCAGTTCTTCCGTATTACCTGTTTTATAGACTGGAGTTTCAATTGGACTTTTGAAGAAAAGATGTTATTAGTTTAAAATAAAGGTGGAAAATCTCAGGACTAGGTGATCTTTAAAGACTTACCCAAATTCAATTCTGTGAATTTTTGTAACCAGAAACACCCTTAGGAGGCATCTGCAGCCCAGAGAGCTGAATTATCCTTCCAGATTCCGCTGAGATATTCCCTCTGTGAAGTCTTTCTAAGCAGAACTAATTCCTCCTTCCATTGTATTTCAGTAGGATTTTGTACATGATCCATTACAGTACATAGCATCATATTATATGTCTTTTGAATAAGTGCCAGAGGAGGACACATTTAGAGTAATATTGTGGTGAAATAATATCTTGAAAGATTTACCAATCTTCATTTATTAATAACCTGTGGAATTTTACTTCAGCATATGTGTAATTTGTATTCAGCTTTTTTTGAAATGTTGGGCGTATTTCCAGGACACCTATTACGCTTTTTTAGAGATCTGTATTAAATGCTCACCAAGTGTTGATTCCCTTCCCTTCTAGAAGGGTTAAGGGACTTCAGGTTGGGAATTGATACTCAAATTTTTATTGGCGTTGAGTGGAAATTCTAGTTGGGCAGGATTAGTAGTGGTGTTTTCTATTTATTTTTTATTTTTATTTTTATTTTTGAGACAGGATCTCACTTTGTAACCCAGGCTGGAGTGCAGGGGCATGATCATGGCTCACTGCAGCCTTGACCTCCCAGGCTCAGGTGATCCTTCCACCTCAGGCTGTCCAGTAGCTGGGACTACAGGCACGTGCCATCATGCCCAGCTTATTTTTTGTAGAGATGAGGTTTTGCCATGTTGTCTAGGCTAGTCTCGAACTCCTGACCTCAGATGATCTGCCCTGCTTGGCCTCCCAAAGTGCTGGGATTATAGGCACAGGTGAGCCGCTGCACCTGGCCTGGCCGTGGTGCACTCTGAATAGTAAATAATTTTAACAATGAAGAACACTTAATGTTAGGTATTTTGGATTGAATAAAACAAGTACAAAACACCCTCCATGTTTAACCTGCTTGTAAAATGATCTGTATTTCTATGGAGGAGGAAAGAACAAATGAAATGGTATATAAACTTCTTTTTTATTTTTTTTAATGATTAAAAAAATTTTGAGACAAGGTTTCAATTCATCGCCCAGGCTGGAGTACAGAGGCGCCATCACAACCTGCCCCACCATGTCTGGCTAATTTTTTGTAGAAATGGAGATGGGGGGTGGTGGTGGTGGGGGGGCGTCTCACCAAGTTGCCCAGGCTGGTGTTGAACTGACCTCAGGGGATCTGCCCACCTCAGCCTCTCAAAGTGCTGGGATTACAGGCGTGAGCTACCACACCCGGCTGAAAAGACATAAACTTCCGACGGGCAAACCCTTCTAATTTAAATTTTGGTCAGACTGTTACAAGTGAGGAGATGGTTATCTTAATAAATTTTCAGGCTGGGCGTGGGGGCTCATGCCTATAATCCCAGCACTTTGGGAGGCGGAGGTGGGTGGATCATCTGAGGTCAGGAGTTCAAGACCAGCCTGGCCAACATGGTGAAACCCTGTCTCTACTAAAAATACAAAAATTGGCCGGGCGCGGTGGCTCACGCCTGTAATCCCAGCACTTTTTGGGAGGCCGAGGCGGGCGGATCACAAGGTCAGGGGATCGAGACCACGGTGAAACCCCATCTCTACTAAAAAATACAAAAAATTAGCCGGCCGCGGTGGCAGGCGCCTGTAGTCCCAGTTACTCAGGAGGCTGAGGCAGGAGAATGGCGTGAACCCGGGAGGCGGAGCTTGCAGTGAGCCGAGATAGCGCCACTGCACTCCAGCCTGGGCGACAGCGCGAGACTCCGTCTCAAAAAAAAAAAACAAAAAAAAAAAACCACAAAAATTAGCCAGTTGTAGTGGCAGGCGCTTGTAATCCCAACTACTTGGGAGGCAGAGGCAGGGGAATCGCTTGAACTCGGGAGGCAGAGGATATAGTGAGCTGAGATCACGCCACTACATTCTAGCCTGGGTAACAGAGCAAGACTGTGTCTCAAAAATAAATAAATAAATAAAATAAAATTTCAATATATTATAGAAAATAATGGGTGGGTATATGCTGAATAAGGTACAGGCTATTTCTGAATATTATGTTGTTTACTGTTGTATGCTGTTGAACAGGAGGAGGATCACAATTCAAGTGAGCGGAACAGTTGCATTGAGAACACTAACGTTTGTTGGCTTCCTGAATAGTTTGCTAGTGAAGTGGCTCACTTCTGAGCAGAAGCCTTTTGCTCACTTTGGCAGCACCTATACTGAGCAGAAGCTTTATATAAATCTAAGGTATC